TGTACCTGTACCTGAATAAACTTACAGTGCATGTGCATATGGGATTACAGCTGCAGAAAATTACATAAAACTAGGGGTGTGCCAAGGTCTTGGTAACAGTGGTATTGGTTATTTTTTATGGTATCAGTATTGAATTAAAGCTGGGCATCAGTATAATATAATACAGTGGACCCCCGGTTTACGATATTATTTCATTCCAGAAGTTTGTTCAGGTGCCAGTACTGAACGAATTTGTTCCCATAAGGAATATTGTGAATTTGATTAGTCCATTTCAGACCCCCAGACATGCACGTACAAATGCACTTACATAAATACAGTGGACCCCCGCATAACGATCACCTCCGAATGCGACCAATTATGTAAGTGTATTTATGTAAGTGCGTTTGTACGTGTATGTTTGGGGGTCTGAAATGGACTAATCTACTTCACAATATTCCTTATGGGAACAAATTCGGTCAGTACTGGCACCTGAACATACTTCTGGAGTGAAAAAATATCGTTAACCGGGGGTCCACTGTATACTTACATAATTGGTCACATTGGGAGGTGATCATAAAGCGGGGTCCACTGTATATAATATCTTTTTTATTTCTAGTTACATGTAAAAGGTATACAGGCCTAGCTGACATCAATGATATACAACTACATAGAAAGCTTCTTGTTATGCAGAGCATTTCGGGCAAATTAGGTCGGTTTTGTCCCAGGATGCGACCCACACCAGTCGATTAACACCCAGGTACCCATTTTACAATACAATACAATTTTTATTTTCTTGCAAGTTTACATTGAGATTTTGTAATTACAATAATGAGTTGCAGTGCAAAGAGAGCCACTATCATGCTATGGCATTATGGGCAGACTAAATATAATGGCTTACAGACTACTTAATTCCAGAGAAATTGATCATAGTTTGTTTAAATTGCACATCTGTTTTTATTTTTAGCAGACAGTAAGTTTACTCAAATTACAATCTGGGGATATTACATTGGGACAAGTTGAAAGTATTTTGTATGTTGTTTTCATCAATAATAAATATTTAAAGTATATTATGGGAATATAACATTGTGCATTGTTGAAAGTAGTTTACAGTATGAGAATGCTACAATTAGGTGTAAGGCAGTATTGTTTTGGGCAGGTATTTATACTACAATGCAGTATTAAGTAATGTATGAACTTTGGGCATCTAATTTTGAAGTTTAAGATTTAGGTAATTGGGAGATTTTTTTGGTATTGAGTATTGCATATTTAGTTTAGGGTGAGTAAGTGGTATTTGAGAAGAGTCTTACATTGATGTTCAGATCAGGTTACTTTAGTATTTACTGGTAGTGAATTCCAAATTTTGGGACCCTTTATGTGCATAGAGTTTTTACACAGCATAATATGGACATGAGGAACATCAACAAGTGATCTGTGTCTTGTGTTATGGTCATGTGTCCTGTTAAGGTTGGTGAGGAGAAGTTTGAGTGGAGGGTTTATGTTTGAGAGTACTGTTCTATGTATGCAGTAGGCACAAGAATAAGTATGGATGTTCTTTACAGTGAGTAGTTTTAGACTTTTGAATACTGGTGGAGTATGCTGTCTGTAGTGGGAATTTGTTATCATTCTGTGTGCAGCCTTTTGCTGGGTTATTAGTGGTCTTAAGTGACTGAATATTGTTGATCCCCATGCACAAATTCCATACGTGAGATAAGGGTAGACGAGTGAATGATACAGTGCAAGGAGAGCTGACTGTGGAACATAGTTTACCTGGAGTTTACCTGGAGAGAGTTCCGGGGGTCAACGCCCCCGCGGCCCGGTCTGTGACCAGGCCTCCTGGTGGATCAGAGCCTGATCAACCAGGCTGTTGCTGCTGGCTGCACGCAAACCAACGTACGAGCCACAGCCCGGCTGATCCGGAACTGACTTTAGGTGCTTGTCCAGTGCCAGCTTGAAGACTGCCAGGGGTCTGTTGGCAATCCCCCTTATGTGTGCTGGGAGGCAGTTGAACAGTCTCAGGCCCCTGACACTTATTGTATGGTCTCTTAACGTGCTAGTGACACCCCTGCTTTTCATTGGGGGGATGGTGCATCGTCTGCCAAGTCTTTTGCTTTCGTAGTGAGTGATTTTCGTGTGTGCAAGTTCGGTACTAGTCCCTCTAGGATTTTCCAGGTGTATATAATCATGTATCTCTCCCTCCTGCGTTCCAGGGAATACAGGTTTAGGAACCTCAAGCGCTCCCAATAATTGAGGTGTTTTATCTCCGTTATGCGCGCCGTGAAAGTTCTCTGTACATTTTCTAGGTCGGCAATTTCACCTGCCTTGAAAGGTGCTGTTAGTGTGCAGCAATATTCCAGCCTAGATAGAAAAAGTGACCTGAAGAGTGTCATCATGGGCTTGGCCTCCCTAGTTTTGAAGGTTCTCATTATCCATCCTGTCATTTTTCTAGCAGATGCGATTGATACAATGTTATGGTCCTTGAAGGTGAGATCCTCCGACATGATCACTCCCAGGTCTTTGACGTTGGTGTTTCGCTCTATTTTGTGGCCAGAATTTGTTTTGTACTCTGATGAAGATTAATTTCCTCATGTTTACCATATCTGAGTAACTGAAATTTCTCATCGTTGAACTTCATATTGTTTTCTGCAGCCCACTGAAAGATTTGGTTGATGTCTGCATGGAGCTGTGCAGTGTCTGCAATGGAAGACACTGTCATGCAGATTCGGGTGTCATCTGCAAAGGAAGACACGGTGCTGTGGCTGACATCCTTGTCTATGTCGGATATGAGGATGAGGAACAAGATGGGAGCGAGTACTGTGCCTTGTGGAACAGAGCTTTTCACCGTAGCTGCCTCGGACTTTACTCTGTTGACGACTACTCTCTGTGTTCTGTTAGTGAGGAAATTATAGATCCATCGACCGACTTTTCCTGTTATTCCTTTAGCACGCATTTTGTGCGCTATTACGCCATGGTCACACTTGTCGAAGGCTTTTGCAAAGTCTGTATATATTACATGTGCATTCTTTTTGTCTTCTAGTGCATTTAGGACCTTGTCGTAGTGATCCAATAGTTGAGACAGACAAGAGCGACCTGTTCTAAACCCATGTTGCCCTGGGTTGTGTAACTGATGGGTTTCTAGATGGGTGGTTATCTTGCTTCTTAGGACCCTTTCAAAGATTTTTATGATATGGGATGTTAGTGCTATTGGTCTGTAGTTCTTTGCTGTTGCTTTACTGCCCCCTTTGTGGAGTGGGGCTATGTCTGTTGTTTTTAGTAACTGTGGGACGACCCCCGTGTCCATGCTCCCTCTCCATAGGATGGAAAAGGCTCGTGATAGGGGCTTCTTGCAGTTCTTGATGAACACAGAGTTCCATGAGTCTGGCCCTGGGGCAGAGTGCATGGGCATGTCATTTATCGCCTGTTCGAAGTCATTTGGCGTCAGGATAACATCGGATAGGCTTGTGTTCATCAAATTTTGTGGCTCTCTCATAAAAAATTCATTTTGATCTTCGACTCTCAGTCTGGTTAGCGGCTTGCTAAAAACTGAGTCATATTGGGACTTGAGTAGTTCACTCATTTCCTTGCTGTCATCCGTGTAGGACCCATCTTGTTGAAGTAGGGGCCCAATACTGGACGTTGTTCTCAATTTTGATTTGGCATAGGAGAAGAAATACTTTGGGTTTCTTTCGATTTCATTTATGGCTTTTAGTTCTTCCCGCGATTCCTGACTCCTAAAGGATTCTTTTAGCTTAAGTTCGATGCTTGCTATTTCTCTGACCAGTGTCTCCCTACGCATTTCAGATATATTGACCTCTTTTAGCCGCTCTGTTATTCTTTTCCGTCGCCTGTAAAGGGAGCGCCTGTCTCTTTCTGTTCTACATCTACTCCTCCTTTTTCTTAGAGGAATAAGCCTTGTGCATACATCGAGTGCCACCGAGTTAATCTGTTCTAGGCATAAGTTGGGGTCTGTGCTGCTTAGTATATCTTCCCAGCTTATATCGGTTAGGACTTGGTTTACTTGGTCACACTTTATGTTTTTGTTATTGAAGTTGAATTTGGTGAATGCTCCCTCGTGACTAATCTCATTATGTCGGTCTGGGGCTCCGCGCATACATGACTGAACCTCAATTATGTTGTGATCTGAGTATATTGTTTTTGATATGGTAACATTTCTTATCAGATCATCATTGTTAGTGAAGATGAGGTCTAGTGTATTCTCCAGTCTAGTAGGCTCTATTATTTGCTGGTTTAAATTGAATTTTGTGCAGAGATTTAAAAGCTCGCGTGAGTGTGAGTTTTCATCAGAGCTGCCTCCTGGTGTTATTACTGCAACAATATTATTTGCTATATTCCTCCATTTTAGGTGCCTTAAGTTGAAATCCCCCAGGAGCAAGATGTTTGGTGCAGGAGCCGTATCTTTGGTACTATGCCTACTGTTTTTGAGATTTTCTTGGAAATTTGTTGTACATGTGTCTGGAATCTGAGGCTACTGTCAAGGTGGATTTCTAGGAATTTTTCCTCTGTGAGTCTTGTGATGGGTGATCCGTTTATTGTTATGTTAAGCGGAACATTTGTAGTTCTGTTTCCAAACTTAATGAAATAGGTTTTGTCAGTATTGAGAGTAAGCTTATTAGTCATCATCCAGGTAGATATTTTCTGCAATTCGGCATTAACAGTGTTGGCCAGTATGACTGGGTTTAGGTGAGAGAAGACATATGTAGTGTCATCTGCAAATAATATGGGTTTGAGTAGTTGTGATGCATTCGGTAGGTCATTGATGTAAATGAGAAAGAGGAGTTGGCCAAGGGAACATAGACAACCAGCGTACAAAAGCACGCCTAATGTTTCTACCCTTGCTGTGTGAAGCAAGAGCTTTAGCCACCAGGCCACGGGGCACTGCACCTCTAATGTATATACAGCTCTGATAAAGCTCTTAAATATAAAATCAGCTCTTATAAAGCTCCTCTATATACAGTCACTTCTTACAAATTATTATTATAATCAAAAGGAAGCGCTAAACCTACCAGGACTTCTTACAAAGCTCCACTATTGTCAGCTGTTATAAAGTTCTTCTACAGCCAGTTGTTATAAAGCCCCTTCAGTCAAATATAAGGAATATCTCCAGTTCCTGGAATCAAGAGCCCCTGACGAGCACCGCTGCGCCTTCAATGATATGCGACACGTATATATCACGAGCGTTAAACCCCCACGGGTGAGGCAGTCACAAATATGACACAAACCAGACTACGTCTTGTTGGGTTTGTAAGGGCCGCTGACAGCTGACGTCTTTGTCAGCCCTGCTGACCTATGTGCGAGGTAAGTCAGTCAGTACGTTTAATCAATCAATCAATCAAGTTTATTCTCTATAAGGGTTACAATGTGGGGTTTACAGATTTTGAATATTGTGTGGTTTACATGCTATAAAATACTAATTACAGAGGGGGGCACTAGGACACCTAGCATGGCTGGGCATTTCGGACAGACCTCGATTAATTCTTAACATTAAATCCTTACAGATTATGGTATTAAGGCTAAGTGACTACATCATAATTTGTGAGTTTAGCAGTATGAATGATTTTGTTTTAATACAATACAAGGTGTCTATATTGGAGTATCATAGGCAAACTTATGACTAGTTAGGATTTATTATACAGCCATACACAACTGTAGGCCAGACCAACAAGGGGGTGGCACAGCCATATACTACTCAGACCAACTAGAATGTATCACTAATACTTGCACAAGGGATGAACATGGGGAATATATAATAGCCAAATTCAAATCCAAATACCTACAAAAACCTCTCACATTGATAAACATTTACAGAGTTCCACAGTCAAACATTACCCAAATTTTATAAAAAACCTAGAAGTATGATAACATGCAGATGAACAAAGTCACTTACTACTCTCGGGTGACTTCAATAAAAACTCCTGCAAGCCAGGACCCACACGTTATGAATTCCGAACACAATGAGTAACTGATGTTGCCCAACATTTCAAAACCTAAAATTACAGAGACTAGTGTTTTCCCACTTGACCACATCGGGACCAACACCATACCCCCTTTTTAAAATAGGAAATTCAGATAAACCACAACCCCCCCTACTTTTCTCAAACAACCCTTTTGGGAAAATTCCCCCAAGACCTACTAAAGTCACCTTCAACTTCACAATGAGGCAGCCTTTAATAACTTCCAACAGCATAGCAAACATTGAGGGCACCTGGCAAAGAAATCTAACAGATATTGCGAATGTTTAAAATTTTTTCAAAAAAAGACCCATCCCTAAACAACACTGCCCTAAAAAAACTAAACAGATGAAGCTAAGAGACGAACACCCCCCTGGTTAACACCCACATTCTCAAATCCATAAATACAAAACACCAATATAAAAAAACATACAGAATGGGTCACAAAACCCAGAGACCAAAAAAAACGTTACCGTCAACCCTAACCAGCCTATAAGAAGGGGAAAAAAATTGTATTATGAGAAAGATTATCCAACTTACGAGGTGTATAAAAAAGACCTGGGAAAAACCCCATCAAAATTTAAAGGAAACCAAAAAAAATATCACGAAAAACGAAATAAAAAAATTGCAAAATCAGATGAACCCCCAAATCCCACCCAAAAGAAACAGCAAAAAATCAATGACTTCTTCTCCACTATAGGACAAAACCTTGCCAATAAAATCCCCGCTCAGATACCCCACCCAAAAGACTACCCCATGGGAACTACCCCAACACATGTTCCTACTCCCACTAACCCATACAATCCCCCTTTTTATCAACACCTAAAAAAAAAGGCAGGAGATTTAAAAAACCCTTTTTTACCCCCCCCTTTTAATACAAAAAAATGTCCCAAATGCATCACCAATATTGAAAAACCCCTTTAACAAATCCTTGAACCCCCCTTCCCTACAGTACTCAAAAAGCAAGGGGACCCCCGTCCCAAAAGGGGGAACCAAAAAGAGTTGAATAACTATAGGCCATTTTTCCCAACTTACACCCCCTCTCAAAAACCAAAAAAATTAATTCATAAAAGAATCCCCCTCCTTTTCTCCCAAACATACTCAACCCCCTGCCAAATTTTGGATTTCAGGGCCCAAATAAAAATACAATGATGCATTATACACATGGTAAAACATATAACCTGCAATAGAGAAAAAAGAAGTCCCACTGGGGGTCTTCATTAATACTAAAGCTTTTTATACAGTTAACCATGACTTGCCCACTTTAAAATTGTCACACTTTGGTATAAGAGGGGGACTCCCTCAATACCCCAAGTCATACCTCAGCAACAGAAGCCAATAGTGTATGCAAATGGGGCAAACTCTTCTGCACACCCAAATTTACAGTTGGTGTCCCACAGGGAAGTGTCCTTGGCCCTCTTCTCTTTTCCTATACATAAATGACCTACCAAATTGCTTCGCAATTACTCAAACCCACACTATTTGCAGATGACACAACAACGTCTTCTCCCACCCGAGCCCAGTCACGCTAGCCAATACTGGGAAATACCGAATATACAGAAAATATCTACCTGGATGAGGACTAACAAACTTACACTAAACATTGACAAAACCTACTTCATTCAGTTTGGTAACAGAGCTACAGATGTCCCTCTTAACATAATGATAAACGGATCACCTACCACAAGCTAACAGAGGGAAAATTCTTAGGAATCCACCTTGGGTAAATAAAACTCAAAATTTTATACACATATAAAAACAAATTTCTAAGAAAATTTCCAAGACTGTAGGCCCTACTATCGAAGATACGGTACTATGCTCCACAGTCAGCCCTCCCCGGCCCTATATCACTCCCCTTATTTACCCCTATCTCACCTATGGAATTTGTGCATGGGGGTCAACAACAAGTAACCATCTCAGACCCCTAATTACCCAACAAAAGGCTGCAGTTAGAATGATAACAAATTCTCACTATAGGCAGCACACTCCACCAATATTCAATACACTAAACCACTCACCATACAAAACATTCATACTTATTACTGCACCTATTACATACATAGAACACTTAACCTGATATTAAACCCTCCCCTCAAACATCTCCTTTCCAACCTCAACAGAACACATGACCATAACACAAGGCACAGATCACTCTTTTATGTTCCTGTTTCCATCTCACACTATGCAAAAACTCAATGCACATAAAAGGGGCCCCAAAATCTGGAACTCATTACTGTAAAATATAAAAGAAACACACACCTGTTTATAAATTCAAATCTCTTCTCAAAGATCACTTACTCACCCAAAACCAAATAAATACGGAATAACTAAACCCTTAAAATTGTATATCTTAAAGTTTCTCACTTTATATCACATAAATGTTAAACCAAAAACCCCAATTAATTTTATTATTTTTTAAATACACACCTACAGAATATCCATTCTACTGAATGTACAACAATGCTAAACCATATCACCTGTCTTTGAATACTCATTGTCTTTATGAATCTGTTTACTTTAATTTTTTCACTGATGTCATCATTGCTTATTCATTTAAGTTAATTTTAGCCAGCCCGTAATGCGAAAGTAAAAGTGGTTTGCATGTGCTCTTATCTGATTTTTTTTCCTCTGTAGTGTGCTCAAATTTTAAATAAATAATAAAAAAGTTACTAAAAACAACAACATACCCCATCCCAAAGGGGGCAGTAAAGCAACGCAAAAAACAAACAGCCAATAGCACTAACACCCCTATCATAAAAATCTTTGAAAGGGTCCTAAGAACAAAATCACCACCCATTAAAACCCTCAATTACACAACCCAGGGGAACATGGGGTTTGAACAGGTCGCTCTTGTCGTCTCAACTATTGGATCCACGACAAGGTCCTAATGCACTAGAAGACAAAAAGAATGCAAATGTAATATAACAGACTTTGCAAAGCCTTCGACAAAGTGTGACCATGGGGTAATAGCGCACAAAATGCGTGCAAAGGAAAAAGGAAAAGTCGGTCCCATGGAACTATAATTTCCCACTAAAGAAAAACCCGGAAATGTCGTCAAAAGAGTAAAGCCGAGGCACTACGGTGAAAAGCTCTGTTCCACAAAAGGGACAGTATCGCTCCCTCTTTTTCCTCATCCTCAATCCCACATAGACAAGGGTGTCAGCCACAGCCCGTGTCTTCCTTTTCGATGCACCCCGAAACTGCATACAGTGTCTTCCATTCAGACACTGCAAAGCTCCAGGGGAATCAACCAAAAACTTTCAGTGGGCTGCGAAAACAATATGAAAGTTCAACGATGAGAAATTTTTAAATTTCTCAGATATGGTAAACATGAGAAATTAAATCTTCACAGAGTACAAAACAAATTCTGGCCCCCAAAAAAAGCGAAACACCAACGTAAAAAAAACCGGGGGGTGATCAGTCGGGGGATCTCACCCCTTTAAGGACATAACATTGTACAATCGCATTGCTAGAAAAAAAAGGATGGGTAATGAGAAACCCTTTAAAACTAGGAAGGCCAAAACCCGAACACTCTTCAGGTCACTTGTTCTATCTAGGCTGGAAAAAATTCTGCACACTAACACACCTTTCAAGGCGGTGAAATTGCCGACCTAGAAAATGACAGGAAATTTTACGCGCGCATAAAGGAGATAAAACACCTCAATTATTGGGGGCGCTTGAGGTTCCTAAACCTGTATTCTCTGGAACGCAGGAGGGAGAGATACATGATTATATACACCTGGAAAATCCTAGAGGGACTAGTACCGAACTTGCACACGAGAATCAGTCACTACGAAAGCAAAAGACTTGGCAGACGATGCACCATCCCCCCAATGAAAAGCAGGGGTGTCACTAGCACGTTAAGAGACCATACAATAAGTGTCAGGGGCCCGAGACTGTTCAACTGCCTCCCAGCACACATAAGGGGGATTACCAACAGACCCCTGGCAGTCTTCAAGCTGGCACTGGACAAGCACCTAAAGTCGGTTCCGGATCAGCCGGGCTGTGGCTCGTACGTTGGTTTGCGTGCAGCCAGCAGCAACAGCCTGGTTGATCAGGCTCTGATCCACCAGGAGGCCTGGTCACAGACCGGGCCGCGGGGGCGTTGACCCCCGGAACTCTCTCCAGGTAAACTCCAGGTAAGTATTTCTGGGTTTATAGTCAGTGGGTGAGTGAGTGTAATTGTGAACCACCAGGTGGTTATCATGTAGTTAGTTGTCGGGGTGTATCAGGGAGATAAGATGTTTTCTAACTGTAGTTTTGAAAGTGATGAATGTGTCTGCAATTCTAGAATTTTCAGGTAGGGTGTTCCAAATTTTAGGCCCT